CTTATAGGGGCGCCCCCAAGGGTCTTCGTTAAGGGAGCTTATTAGCTCCTCCCACGCTTTCTCCTTGGCAGTCTTGATTGCCGCCCGCAAAGCTTTCCTTCTTTGGCGGTACTCCTCCACGAGTCTCTCCTCCTCCGCAGGTGGAGTTCCCCTCCTCCTTCTGGCCCGCAGGACGGCTCTCCTGGCAGCCACCGAGGATTTCCTCAGCGCGTCTATCTCTTCCGACCACCAGTAGGCCGCCCTGCGGGCGACGAACCTGGCGCGCGGCATAGCGGCGTCGCACGCACTCGTCAGCACCCGCTGCACCTAGCCTCCTCTTCCACTGTGGGCGCAGGGTCCGGCTGCGCCCACAGTGCCGCGATTAGGGACTCCTTAAGTTTGTCCGGGTCCAACTTATCTGCCATCCACCTAACCATTCGCTCTTGCGATCTCCTCCTCCCATTCTCCCATGCGAACTTTATGTGGATGGGAAGATGGTCGGAAAGCAACTCAAGGCCATCCACCACCCCCCATCCACTTATCCTCCTCGCGGCCGCAGGGGAAGTCCACGTCAAGTCGACGATTGACTCCCCCTGCGGCCTTACGCAGGTGCTGACGTTCCCTACATTTTCTAGGTGGAGGCCTAGGCGCGCGGCCCAGGCCTCCACGTCTGCCCCCTTGGCGTCCGGCCGCCGGGAACCCCAAAGTGCCGATTTGGCATTGAAGTCCCCGGCGACCAGAATCGGTCCGGGGAGATACTCCCGGACCAAGTCCTCCAGCTCCTCAAGTCTCGCGTCCGCTTCGGCACGGGTAAGGCTGGGCCTCAGGTAGACCCCGATTATAAACAGGGGCCCCCATTTGGCCACCACCCAGCCCTCCCCGGCCTTGAGTTTCGAGAAGGGGGGAACCCTCTCCCCCGTTCTCCTCCAGACGATCGCCGCCGAGCCGTCCGTGCTCCCCGCCCAACAGGGGCTCTTAGGAACACGGTACGGCTCAGCGACGATGCCAAGTCCGCAACCACGCTCCGCCAGGCTGTGGAGGAACAGATCCTGAGCCTGGCGGGCGTGGTTGAGATTCGCCTGGAGCGCCGCTAACGCCGTGAAGGCGACGCCTTCCCAGCCTCCTCCTGGCTGTTGCTTTCCTTAGGGTGTGTCCCTTGCGCCGCCGGCTCGGTCTCCATAGGCTCACCTTGCTGCCTAGACTGGCCTACTGTCTGCTCCTTTTCCCGGCCTTCTTCTCTGCTCTTCCTGGCTGCCCTCTTCTTCTCACCCTTGCTCGGGAGTCGGCACGCTGCCCCTCCAGCCTTGTGGTTGGAGGGCAGTCCTCTCCCCTTGCATACTGCGCAGTTGGGGGTCTCGGTACACCCCTGCGCCTTATGCCCATCTTTGCCGCACCGATAGCATAGCATGCTCCTATCGGTGTTGCTCCTGCACTGCGCTCTAATGTGCCCCCTCTCCAGGCACCTGTAGCATACTAACGGGCGGGGGTCGAGCAGCTCCACCCTGCACGACACCCAGCCCAGCCTTATTCTCCTCATCTCGGCTGTTCTCCTCGCCACCTCGAGTCCACACTGGATCCAACATGTACCCATTCCGCCGGGGGTCCGCCGGATGGGGCCTACCTTTATGTCGTCCGGGAGCCCACCTCCAGCCTTCGTCACCGCAGCCCGAATCTCTTCTTCAGAGACGGATTCATCTAGATCCTTAAGCCGGATCTCCGCCCTTTTTTCGGGGCGGGTGACCTTCACGCCCTTGCCCTCCCCAACTGTTTTTATCCTGGTGGCAAGCGTGTCTGCCTTGGCCTTGGCTTCGGCACCTCCCGAGATCTCGAGCAGGGTAGCCCCGTTCAGGGCTTTCCTGCTCTTGACCTTATCGATTCCTAGGTCCTCCAGTTTGATTTGGGACCTTAGGAATCTCATTCCCTCGGCTGCCTGTCCTTCCGGGAATGAGATCGCCACCGCGGCGGTTTTGGGCGACCTCCTCTTCGGCTGCTCTTTTTGCCCCTTCTTCTCGGCTCCGGTGGTGGTTGCCGCAGTCACAGGCTTCCCGGATTTCGCCACCGGGCTTTGCTCCTTGTTCACCTGCTTCTTCCTCCCCTTTCTCACCACCTCCGCCCAGGAGGTAGTTGGCTTGGCTAGAGCCGGGGTCCTCTTTTCCTCCTTGGAGGGCTTCTTTTCCTCCTTCGGCATCTTGGTCTCCTTGTTGCTTCGGACGATCCGCGCCGCCGTCTCTCTCGCCCTCATCCTCACCTTGTCCTTAACCTCCTCCACGCTGGTAACGACTGGGAGTCTCTTCCCACTCTCCCCCTTTCCTTTCGGGATTCGGCTCAGCGCTCCCTGGCACCTAGTTATTAAATTTTCCAGGTTGCGCTTCACCTTGTTTGAGTCCCCGCAGACCACCTCCCTTATGGAGACTCCCTCCATGACTCGCCTGATGCCCTCCATGGCATCTTCTTCGGGCGGATCCTCCAGCGCTTTACGCTCTCCCCTCAACGTTGGTCGATGGACGGTATCGTCGGACCTATCCGCCGTCTCCAGCTTTCCCCTCTTAGCGGCCACTTGTTTCCGGCCCTGGGCCTTGGGCTTCTCTTGTTTCGCCAGCTTTACTGGCTTCCCCTTGTTTTGCGCTCGGGCACTGGCCTGGGAAGAAAGGTTTGCCCCCTGCCGCACGTCAGGCATCTCCAGCACTACTTCGGGCATTTCCTCGACCGTGGCCACTTCCTCGACAGTGGCCATTTCCCTTTCCGCCTTCTTCTCCGCCGCTATCCTTGCGGCTCTCTCCTCTTGGAGGAGGGCCGTCAGCTTCTCCACCTGGTCTTCCAGACTCCTGACCCTCGCTTTCCACCTCTCGATCTCCTCCAACGCCGTGCTGTTGGGGCCCGCTGACTTTGTGGCCACCACCGTAGCCGCCGCTCGTAGCGTCGCGGAAGACGCCTTTAGGTCCCTTACGTATGTGCCTTTTAGGTTCGACGACCTTTCGGCAACCTTGACCACGACATTTATGTTTTCCAACATTTCTGCCGCCATCTCCTCCTGGCTGAGGGACTCCATGCGACGAATGGTATCCTTCTCAGGCTTCGCGCTTCTTGGGGCCACCCTTGGGTTAACCACCTCCTCCAGTGCCTTCTTCTCCGCTTTGAGCAGCCGGATCTCCCTTATGCACTGTTCCTTCTTCCTTTTTATTCCCTCAAACGTTTTAGGGGCCCTCCCTCTCCTCTTCCGTTTTCCCGTTATATGGTCCACGGAAGAGATCGATGACTCCTCACTGTCTGTGTGGGGGACATCGTCCTCCCTATCCTCCTTCTCCGTGTCGGACCAATCTGAGTCCGGGAGCGGGAGGTTTTGGATCTTCTTAGAGGACCGCGGCCCTGGCCTGTTCCGCAATCTCTTAGCCAGCACACTGACTCCCTCGCGTCGGGTCTCTCCTTGGGGCTCTGCCAACCCACCTCCCTTTGTCCCCTTGGAGCTGCCCGCTTCGCCGTCTTTAGTCTCCGCATGGTTTTTTGTGTTTTTTGGCTTCATAATGGCAGTTGTGGTTTACTCCGGTTCGCCCATCATGGGACCCCCACCGCGGTGGGGGTGCTATCCCCGGTTAAGTAAAACCCTAGTTAAGGGCCGGGAAGCGGAGAAGCCGCTTGTCGGGGAGCCACCCCTATCCCGGCCAGTGACTCTATGAAAAGGGTTCCTGGAGACGGCCAGGTCCACCATTATGTTAAAGGATTATCCTCACCCCAGGGACGGGACGCGTGCCGATCCGATCGGTCGCTCACCCCGCCCCCAGGCTAGAGCTTGCCGAGGAACTCTCCCCCTCAGCTGGGTACGGGGGGTCGGCGGCTGACCGGCCCCCCCACACCCGCGCCCGGACTGCCGGCTTCAACTCCCTGATAGGCTCCAGACGGACGAGACGGGAGCGGTTTTCCCACATTGAACATGCCACTTCCTGCGGATCGATCGGAATTAACCTAGGGTGTAATTTTCCTTCCTTAATACATGTTACATAGTCTAATGTGTCTGTCACGTCGCGTGTTAGATCGTTGATAATTGCATTGAACAAGGTGTAGTGTTCTGTGTTCGTCTAGGTCGTGTCGTCGAGTATGCGTGACCAGTGTACTTTTAACTTTTTCCATTAAGTTTTTTAGGGTGTTTTCATTTTCTTCGATGACTTGTTCCAGGTTGCTGATGTGCCCTATTGTTGCGTTGATTACTCTTAGTTGGTACTGTAGGGCGTGTTTTGTCGCTCTGTCTGTTTCTTGTAGCAGTGATAATTGTTCATTTATTAACTTGTCGTCATCTGCGTCCATTGTTCCGAATAGCGTTTTTGCAATGGCGCCTATTCCGTCTATCAGTCCGCGTCGTTTGTTCGGTGTTTTGTACACTGTCTTTAGTCTGTCGGTCAACTGTCGTAATCTTCTCTCCCCTTTGCTGATTATGAGGTGGAGGTTTTTGCATGTACTGCTGTGTGCGAGTAGTATTTCGCACGTTGCTTTCGTGCGTTCTACGCACCGCTCTACCTGTTCTAAACGTGTGGTGAACGGGGTGAGGTCGGTTTTGATTACGAGTTTCCACGTAGCCTCGACGGGATGCATTTTGCCGACCTTTTCAAAATATATCCCTGGCTGCTGAGTGAAGGTGGTTTATCTCGTACGGTGGCGCGTCGTTAGATTTTGCGACCGTCGCCAGGTAGGCACCTATCGTTAGAGTTCTGTAATATAATATTTCAGCTTTCGTTACATTAATCTCATTTCGCTGACTGGGTGCTTCTTAGTTGGAGATGGTTTTGTCGTTTGGTATGTTTTTCTTCAGTCGAGCGTTAGCTGTGCGTAGCGTCTCGTCGTTTTTTATTTTGTTGTGTGGGTTATTTCTTGGTCCAGAATGTATTTTGGTGATCCTCTCCGTACTATTGGGGACGTTTATGAAACTGTGGTTCTTGAGTGTGACGACGAGATCGCGGAGGAGCCCACTACTTTTATGGAGGTTTTCGCCAGTTTTGGGGATTTCCATATCGGGCTTGACCCCCAGGAGGAGGTCGCGCGAGGCCAGGAGGCCATGGAGGTCAATGAGGAGGAGGAAGAGGAGGACGAGGAGGACGAGGACGAGGTGGAGGAGTTGTGGTTTCGGGTTCTGTTCTTAGTGTGACGGAGCAGGTGACCCGTCGGGTCGAGGAGCACCTGGACTCGCTCGGCCTGTCTCTCGCCGGGGGTGTCAATTCCCTCACTTGGGTTCAGCTGGTGGACCTCGCGGCGGAGACATTTCCCACGTCGGACGAATTTATGGCCTGGTACGAGGCCATTTCGCGTGCTGCGGCTTCGTAGATCCTTAGTAAGTGTTTTCTCGTCTTTCCTTTTCTCCTCGTAATTGTATCTCTCGTCGTTTTCGCTTTCTATCTTATCTTGTTACTTGATGCGTGGTTCTGCTTGCCACGGGGTACTGCTTCTTTTAAATGCTTTGGCTAGTTAGTATTCTCTCGGCTCGCTACTATGTTTTTTCGTATGCCGTGTGAGATCGAAGATCTTAAGGTGGAGTCCCCAGAGTTGCCGGACGATCCGGTGGTGTCTGATAGTGACTCCGAATGGAGTTCCTTGGACGATCGTCCCTCAGACGACTTGTCTGAGGTGTTCGTTGATAGCGACTTGTCCCTCTCTTCGGAATCGTCGGAAGTCATCTCTGTCTCCTCGGGGAGTTTAGAGATTTTCCCCGTGCCGTCTCTCTCGCTGGATTCTGCTCCGGTGGATGATGAGGTTGAGTTGGTGGAAGAGGGTGAAACGTCTTCTTCGTCGGAGGATGAGGTTCTGGTTGTTGAAGAAGATCAGGAATTCTATGAACGTTGGGAGTAGGTGAGTGTTTGTTTAGTTTGTCTATCTTAGTTGTCTATAAATGGTTTAAGTCTGTTCGCGCGTGTACGCGAATTGTCCTACGTCCCATCTTCACGGAATAATTTACTTCGTTGTGTTTCTCCATAACTGTGTATGGTCCGATCCATTGGGGTTCCAGTTTTTTGGATCGACCTCTTCGCACTGTTTCGTCCTTAACTAACACCTTATCTCCCGCTTTGAACGTTTGTTCTTTTGTCTTCTTGTCGTACTGCGTCTTTGCTTTTTCCTTGCCTACCTTTGTATTTTCTCTTGTTACTTTGTTTGCGGCGCGAATCCTTTCGCGTAGCTCTTCCGCGTAATTGTCATACGTATACGTTGGTCGTGGTGGTTTTGTCACTGCTGTAGGCAGTACGGCTTGGTGGCCGTACATTAATTCGAAAGGTGTGAGCCCTGTCACCGTATGAGGGGTAGTGTTATATTGTGAACATGGCGTATGGGAGCCATTCATCCCAGTCTGTTTGGTCCGTATTTATATAGTGCCGTAGGTACTCGGCTAGCGTTCTGTGTGATCTTTCTAGAGCTCCGTTGCTCTCTGGATGATACGCTGTCGTCTGTATCTTGTGGATCTTCAGTAGTTTGCACATATTCTTAAAGATTTCGCTCGTGAAATTAGTGCCTTGATCTGTTAATACCTTTTCCGGTATTCCATGTTCGAGGATTATTTTCGTTACGAATGCTTTCGCTACCGTGTTTGCCTCTTGGTTCTCGAGCGGTATTGCCTTGCTGAATTTGGTTAGGTTATCTTGAAAGGTTAAGGCGTACTTATTTCCCGTGGCTGTTATGGTGAGGGGTCCGACTATATCCAGGGCGCACTTTTCAAAGGGCCTCGTAGGGGTATCTGTAGTAACTAGCGGCATTTTAGTTTTCTGTCTTAATTTGTTTTTCTGACAGAATTCGCATTTCGCAATATAACTCTCGACGTCTTTATTTAGACCGTGCCAGTGGTGTCGTAATCTGATGCGGTGTAGTGTTCGCGCGACTCCCTGGTGACCGCCTAACGGCGCGTCGTGATACTCGTACAGTATCTGCTCCTTTTCTTCCGCAGAGTATTCTCATTGTTCTCTTTCTCCTTCTTCTTCTCCGGTGTCTACGTGATGGATCAGTTTTTTATTTTCCGCGGGATAATGGCTCAATGCGTCGGCGTTGACATTACTCTTTCCTGATTTGTAAATGATTTCCTAGTCGTATTCTTCTAGTTTGAGTCTCCATCTGAGTAGTCTGGATCCTGGATCAGTTACGTTGAACAGCCATATCAGTGGCTTATGGTCTGTAACGATTTTAAATGTCGTGCCGTATACGTATGGGCGGAAGTGTTTTACTGCCCATACGATAGCTAACAATTCTTTCTCGGTAGTGTTGTAGTTTTGCTCGGCTCGTGATAATACACGGCTAGCATATGGGATGGGTCGGTCTTTACCTACCGTGCCTTGAGACAGGATAGCTCCGATAGCGTAATCTGACGCGTCGGTCGTGACAATGAACTCGTCAGCGAAGTCGGGATATCTTAATACGGGAGCGGTCGTCAATGCTGTTTTTAATTGATCGAATGCATTCTGTTGCGCCGTGGTCCACTCGAATTTTTCTCTCTTCTTTGTTAATTTTGTCAATGGCTTGGCTATCTTCGAAAAATCTTTTATAAACTTTCGGTAATACCCTGCTAAACCGATGAAAGATTGGATAGCCTTGACTTTGTCAGGGGTTGGAAAATGTTTTACGGCATCTAACTTAGAGGGATCCGGCGAGATTCCGTCCTTGGTAATAATATGTCCCAAGTAAATCACTTCTTTTCGGAGGAACTCGCACTTATCTGGTTGCAGCTTCAGGTTACTGTCTCGTAAGTGTTGGAAGACTTGCACGAGTCTTTTGTTGTGTTCTTCGGCTTGGGCCGTATATTACTATATCGTCTAGGTATACTAGACATTTGAGCCCTTGCATCCCTACTAGGATGGTGTTCATTAGCCGTTGGAATGTCGCTGGCGCGTTCTTCAGTCCGAACGGCATACGATTAAATTCGTAGTGTCCGTATGGCGTCGAAAATGCGGTCTTACATTTGTCCTTCTCGGCCATAGGTATTTGGTGATATCCGGATGCCAAATCGAGCGTAGTGAAGTATTTAGCGTTGCCTAATTGATCCAAGATGTCTGTGATGTTAGGCAGAGGAAAAGAGTCTCCTATGGTTAAATCGTTTAGCTTGCGGAAGTCTATTACGATTCTTAATTTTGGCTGGCCTGACGCATCCGTTTTCTTTGGTACTACTAGGAGCGGTGCGTTCCACTGGCTGGTGCTCGGTTGAATTATTTGCTGTTGCAGCATTTCTTTGATTTGGCGATTTACTTCAGCCTTGTGTTTTTCGGGTAACCGATACGGTCTCACGTTTACACTCGGTGAGTTTACTTGAGTGACAACCTCGTGTTCTACCCGAGTTGTGTGTGTCAGCGCGTCTCCTTCTAGATGGAAGATATCCGCGTACTCAGCACAAGTGTTTATTAATGTCTCTTTCTCCTCTTTATTTAGATGTTCTGTCCGCAGGAATTTGGTTATGCGTTTTTCTCGCAGGAAAGAAAGTTCTCCGCCCCTTTTAGCAATAACCGTATTTATATATTCTGCGCTCTCTGCGTCGGTTGAGGTCTTCACTATTTCGTCTATGGT